AAAAGAGGCCCTAAGGCGACCCCCAACACACGTCAAAACTGCCTCCACGAGGTGCCGCCAGGCCCCCGAAAAGCTTCCAAGACGCCCACGCGAATCCCCCATAGTGCCCAAGAAACCCACGAACCTCAAGTGTGGACTCCACGCCTCTTCGGGGGGTCGGCTGAACGGAACAAGCCTCTTGAATAGGAGGCGTCTGGGACGTCTTGCGTAGCACCACGCGCAGAGAGCTGGAACAGGGCGGGAGAGGGAGGGAGGGCAGACAGGTGGAGGAAGCAAATTCCCCGAGGGCCTAACGACCCGCCAGTGGCAACGCTGTTGCGACCAGCCTCGGCGCCACACGGGGCCACCCAATCTAATCGCGGCGTCTTGGAAATAGGCGAGAGGAGAAGGAGGAGGAGGAGGAGGAGGAGGAGTTGTCGTATTATAATGATTGTTATTATAGAGGCGGAAGGATTAGGATGAGGATATAGTATTAGGAACTACCTTGCGTCGTATTGGACGGAGGATGCGGGCGATGATAGTGGGTAGGTAGTAGAGAGCTTAGTGTAGTAAACCCGGGGTGCCTGAGTATAATGAGGAGAGGAGGTCGTAAAGATGAAAGGAGGGGCGGGAACGGCCGAGCTACAGGCTGGTGGGGGGACCGAGCAGGCACTGGCCTACCGACCATCGCTAGCGGGGCATCACGCCGCGGGCTCGTCCGCCGGCAGGACCCCCTCGCCCACTCCTGGGCTTCGCGCGTGGGGTCTGGAGAGTCTCCTGCTGCCCCCCTCCTCCTCCTCCTCTCCTCCCCCCCCTCATCTACTCCTCCTCCTCCCTCCTGCCTCGTCCTCGTCCTCGCAACTCCTCCTCCTGCCTCCCTCATGTTCCTCCCCCTCCTCCCCCTCCTCCACCTCTTCCACCATCATCATCACCAGCATGATCATGATCATCATCAACCGCACCGTCATCCTCATCACCACCAGCATCATCACCAAATCCCCATCATCACCATCATGATCATAACCATCGTCATCATCATCATACTAATCACCATCATCATCATCATCATCATCATCACCCGCATCGGTTTCAACATCAACATCAGCACACTCATGATTACCATATCATCCTCATCATCCTCAGCATCATCAGCATCGGTAGCATCTTCAACATCATCGTCATCAGCATCATCAACATCATCAACAGCATCAACATCATCAACATCGTCACCGTCATCATCATGGTCATCATCACCACCATCATGGTCATCAGCATCATCATCATCATCATCATCATCATCATCATCATCATCATCATCATCATCATCATCATCATACTCAGCATCGTCACCATCCGTGGAATCATCGTCCGAATCATCATCTCGATCGTCATCAGCAGCAGCATCATCATTATGACTACCTGCAGTTGCGTCATCATGCTCGGAATCACCATCCCTGCTCCTCGTCGACCCTCATCCTGGTCGCACCTCCTCGTCATCATCGGAATCATCGTTCTTCCTCCTCCTCCTCCTACTCCACCTCATCAGCATCACCAACATCAGCAACAACAGCGATTATCATGACATAAACCAGCATCAGCATCATCATCACTGGCAGCAGCATCATCATCAGCATCAGCATCATCAACAGCGACAGCGACAGCGACAGCAACAACATCATCACAAAGACAATCAATAAGATCACCGTGAACTGTAACCGAAAAACCAGCATCACCACCACCACGACCCGCATCATCAGCAACATAATAGCATTAGCCTCGGCGTCGTCATCTACCAACCACCTGCCCCTCATCGTCAATACCATCATTATTAACAGCATACACAGCAACATCGCCATCAACGTGACCAGCCTCGTCAGCGTAAAGGTTAACAGTATCAACATGATCATAATCGTCACCATAACTATAAATCTCAGCAGCATGCTCAGCAGTAGCCTCGCCATCGTCATTGCCTACCTCCGTCCTACTCCTCCCCCTCCTCCTCCGTCTCCTCCTCCTTCTCCCCCTCCTCGCCCTCATCATTATCATAATAAGCATCGTCGCCATCAACATTACCATCAACATCATCAGCATCACCATGGCCATGAACAAAACCGTCAGCATCATGATCAACATCAACATCACCGTCATCAATCACCGGCATCATCATGATCATCATAACCGTCATAATCATCACCCGCATCGTCTTCATCGTCAACATCAGCGCATGTATCATCATCAGCATCGTCATCATCAGCATCATCGTCATCAGCATCGTCATCAGAATCGTCAACATCACCATCAACAGATCGTCAACATCATCACCATCGTATTCATCATCATACACAGCTTCGTCACCATAGGTAGCATCATCATTAGCAGCATCATCTCCATTATCATTGTTATCTGCAGCAGCGTCATCATACTCAGAATCACCATCCTTGCTCCTCGTCGACCCCCTCCTGGTCCCACCTCATCGTCATCATCGTAATCATAGGTATTCCTCCTCCTCCTCCTCCTCCACCTCATCAGCATCATCAACATCAGCAACAACAACACGATCATCACGATATAAAGCATCATCAACACTATCATGATCATCATCATCATCATGACCATCATCATCAGCATCACAAAGAACAACAACAGCGACAGCGGCAACGACAACAACATCATCAACAGCACAACCAAGCTTATCACTGTAAACCGTAACAGTAAAACCTTGACATAGGCATGATCGTCACCATCACAACCAGCATCATCAGCAACATAATCAGCATTACCCTCGGCGTCGTCATCTACCAACATCCTGCTTCTCATCGTCATCACCATCATTATTACCATTAATCACAGTAGCATCGCCATCATCTACAACATGACCCTCCTCATCAGCATGAAGAATAACCGTATCATCATGCGCATGATCGTCACGATCGCCAGCATCATCAGCAGCATGCTCAGCAGTATCATCGGCCTCTTCATTGTCTACCTCCCTCCTCCTCCTCCTCCTCCCCCTCCTCCCCCTCCTCATCCTCCTCCTCCTCCACCTCTTCCTCTTCCTTCTCCTTCTCCTCCTCCTTCTCTTCCTCCTCCTCCTCCTCCTCCCTCCTCCTCTCCTCCCTTCCTCATCCCACCCTCTCCCGCGGCCTCTCGCGGTGGAGGGGGGGGGGGAGGCGCACCGCACACAGCTGCAGCCCGTCACAGGACGAGCGCACCAGCTTCTGGAGCAGCGCGACGGAGCCTGGCGGCCAGGACGCAGGAAGGACGAGCAGAGAGCAGAAGACGAAGGCCTTCCGCGGAAGAGGAGGAATCGGAAAGGATAAGGATCGGGTCTGGGGGAACCAAAAAGGTACGGATACCCCTGCTCCCGGGCCAGGACCTCTACTGGGGTGTGTTCTGACCAGAATTTCAAGGCGAATCCAACGGTGGCGACGAGGGCCTCCGAGGAGGCCCAAACCGGGGAAAACGGGCGAAGGGCAGCGGTATGGGTACCTCGTCCTCCTCTGAGGGTCGGATGAATGGGGGGGGTGCGAAAGGACGTTCGCAAATCAGCTAACGCATACAGTAGGAGCTCGACCACAAGAAACCTTCCTCCAGAATCCCAGCCCTGAAGCCCCAGGACGTCCATGGGTTCTCGGTGTGGGAACGTCACACCTCCCATCGCAGAACCATCGAAACCCAAGAAACCCAAGAAACCCTGGAGGCAAACATAATCCTTCTTGGCATGGGTCTCCACTGTATCAGCATCGAATCAGCTCAGGCTGTCCAACATCACATCGATCGGATCAACATAGACCCTGGTTTGGATGTTTCTTGGCATGGGCTTCTACTGGAGGAGGAGGAGGAGGAGGAGGAGAAGGAGGAGGGGGGGGGGAGGAGGAGGGGGAGAAGGAGGAGAGGGAGGAGGAGGACGAGGAGGAGGAGGAGGACGAACTGGCTTTCCCCGTGGCGCCCCCCAGCGACCCGCGGGCACCGAGGGCAATCACCGAGGACAATGCCCCGCGGCGGGGCCGAGACCGGCTGCAGGCAGCAGACGTTCCACTCCGCCCCTATCCCCTCTCCCTCTCCCTCTCCCTTGCCCTCTCCCCTGTCCCTCCCCATTTCCCTTCCATGTCCCTGTCCCTGTCCCTTTCCCTTTCCCTCCCCCTTCCCCTTCCTTTTCCCTTTCCCGTTCCCCTTTACCTCTCCCTTTCACTCCCTTTCCCTTTCCCTTTCCCTCCCCCTCTCCCTCTCCTTCTCCGTCTCCCTCTCCCTCTCCCTCTCGCTCTCGCTTTCCCTCCCCTCTCCCTTTTCCCCTTCCCCTTCCCTTTCACTTCCCCTTTCTCGCTCCCTCCCCCCCACCCCATTTCCCTCTCCATTTTCCCTGCCTTTCCCCTCCCTTTCGACCACCCTCTCCCCTTGCCTTTTCCCCTTCCCTGTCCCTTCTCTTTTCCCCTCCCTTTCACCACTCCCTTCCCCTTTTCCCTCCCCCTAAGACGAAAAAAAAAACAAAAAAAAAAAGGAAAAAAAAAGAAACAAGAGATAAAACAAACAATGAGGAAAAATAAGTAAAGAGAAAACGGAAAGAAATAACCAGAAAGATAAAAGAAGAACAAAACAACAAAGGACAATAAAAGAAAAAAGTGAAAAAGAACGAAAACAACGAAAGAAAACAACCTAAAAAAAAAAAGAAGAAAAAAAAGAGAATAAAAGAAAAAAAAAAAAATTGGAAGAAGAAAAAAAAAAAAAAAAAAAAAAAGAAAAAGAAAATTTAAAGGAAAACGTATAGATAGAATATAGAAAAACAACGAAAAGGCAAACAAATAAAACGGAAAAAAAAAAAAAAAATAAAGGTCATGCCACGCGGCGAGGACAAACAATCGGGTGAAGATAAACCGAGAATCTCTGAGATCTGGCGTCTCTGGAGGATGTATCGGGAGCCGCGTCCTTCTCAGAGCGTTCCGGAACGCTCTGAGAGCGTCCCGGAAAACGCTATGGAACGGATTGATCCCCGTCCTAGGCCGGTGCGAACCCCCCCCCCTCCCTTTCGTCCAACCAGAGATGAGGAGGCACAGGACGACGAGCCAGTCCGAGGACAAGAGCACGAGCGTCGTATGCGCCCCCCGGCACGGCCTCGGCCCAGAATGTGGGCGTATGGCCAGTGGCGGCGTGTGTCGGTACGGGCCCCGCCGCCCGATGTGCGGAGCGAAGGCAGGACGAGGGCGCAAATCTGAACGAAGGCACCTCGGCAATCTCTGAGAGCTGGCGGGCGTGCAGGGTGCGTCGGGGCCCGCGGCCGTTCCACAGCGTTCCGACACGCCATCTGAGCGATCTGGAACGCCGTGGAGCGATCTATCATCGTCCTAGGCCTGCCTGAGAGTAGCAGCACGAATGGAGGAGGGGTCTCACCCAAGGGCAGGATCCATCGGCCTCGGATCGCGAGATCGCGCACGGGAGTGCGCGCTGGATGGCTGCATCGGCACGGAATCCAAGTCGAATCGAATCCGCTGCGCCAGGATGCACGACACCGCCGTGCAAGCGTCGAGTCGCAGCGCATCGCCAGAGCTTCAAAACCGAACACCGGAACCGAATCGGCCAGAATCGATATCAAGTCGGATCGATCGGATCGCAGTGAGCCCTGCAGGGACGCCGTGTCTCCCGAGCCCTGGGCGGGGGTTGGCACCGCACACGAGGGGTCGGGGGGAGGGGGAAGGCGTCTTAGGAGGCTGCTTCTTAGAAGGCACCAGCCTTAAATCTACAGCTGAGGCCCGCGCATTCTAGGAAGCAGGTTCGAAGCTCGTCCTGGGGACCTTCCTGGAGCCACTCGCTACAATCGTGCGTCGAAGCTGCGTCGAACGTCCGTCGACTCGAGCCGAACCCGAGTCGAACCCGAGTCGAACCCGAGCCGACCCGGCGTCGACCTCGAGCCGAGCTGGAGCCGCAGAGCCCCGTCGGGTGGGCCCCGGGGGAGGCCCCCGCGACGAGCCTCTCAACCCCGCGGGGGGTGCTTCCACGACGCCGAGGCGCCCCCCCGGCCCCCCCCCCCGCGCGCGGCCGAGGCCTGGCTCGCGGCCGAGGCCTGGCTCGCGGCCACGCCCGCCGGCGTGGCAGGCCGGCCCCGCCGCCACTCGCGGCTGCGGCAGCACAGAGGGAGGAGGAGGAGGAGGAGGAGGAGGAGGAGGAGGAGGAGAGAGGAGGAGGAGGAGAATGAAGAGGAGGAGGAGGAGGAGGAGGAGGAGTAGCATACCCCAACACACTTCCCCTTCTCTTTTCCTCTGGCTTACTTGCCTGGACTGGTGTTATCGGTTGTAGGGTACCTCCCCTCGCCTGTCGCCGCGGACTGGGCTGCTCTCGCCCTTGAGAGCCACTGTTCTTGGCCTGGTCCCGTTGCACGGCCGTTCCTGTACCCGTTCACGGCCAAACCTGTTTGGCGTTCCGCCTAAGTCGGCAATTTCTTCCTGCACCACCACTACATGTTTCAGGCGCGAGCCCTGAGTTCGCGTAACGTCAAAAAAGGAGCATGCTCCACTCATTGCTTCCCATCGTCGCTGTCGTGCCCCATCTTCCTTCTTACCGCCGCTAGGTCAGGCCTGCCTCGTCGCCTGGCCTCTGATCTTTCTCATGAACGCTACAGGATTTGCACCCAAAGTCCGCGCAACGCAATGAGGAGGAGGCGGAGGAGGACCAGAGTATACCCAAGAGGCCTCGACGATGCTGCAATGCGCCAAGCCGCCCCAGGTCCACTCCCCGTGAGCTCCTACAAGACTGCTGGTCCACTGCGGGGTGGGGCCCTCGTACAAGAGCCAAGACGTGTGCCCCATGGGCCCACAATTCCAGCGAGCCCCGTTTGCAACGAGATAGGGTCCTAGAGTGCACAACAAGCGAGTGCCCAGAGAGAGCCCCGCTCTGAAGTAAAGAGGAGGAGGAGGAGCGAGGCCAGCGTAAACCCACGATCCTTCAAGGAAGCTGCAGCACACCCCTCCGAACAAGTCCCCTCCTCGAGAGTTCCTACGAGCCCCCACATCTCGCTACAGGAGGCGACCTCTTGAAAGCCAAGCACCCCCTTAAGGCCTGCCATTCCGGCGGCCCCCCCTTCTGACAATGAACTGCCTTGCCATCCTCCTAGCGGCTGTTTAGGGACGCACGCGTGTATGATCGCAGTTACGCGAGGTGCCCAGCGAGATCTCCGTCCTGAAATAGAGGTCCTCCCCCGCTGCAGCACAGGTTTAAAGCGAGATCCCCAGCTTGAGAGTACGTCAGCTTCCATCTGTGCAGCAATGGAAGTCTCCAGCGCGAGCCCAACATGGAAATGGAGCCGTCATCCGTCTTAGTGACTGTTGCAAGTGTGTAAGCCAGATGTGCGCGGCGCGAAGGAGAGAGTCCCATTTTGAAAGGGAGCCGCCCCATTTTGACAGGGAAGTTCTCAAGCAAAACGTCCAGCCCGCCCTACGGACACGTCAGGTGGTCAGACGAGGAATCCCCTAGAAGGAACAGGAATGGAGCACCAGCCTCCAGTGAATTCAGGAGTCCCCGGACACTCACCTCCTCGCAAGCCTCAGCCACGGATCTGCCCTAGCCGCTCCAGGCGAAAGAGAAAGAACGAGTAAAACTACGTGCTGGGCATTCTTGCGAACCCGATGTGAAGGTACTGAGCTGCTGATTTCGGACCATCCCAGGAGCAGCAACAGCAGCAGCAGCAGCAGCAGCAGCAGCGGCAGCGCTTCTGGCGCGCATTGCGCCCCGCGATGCGCGCCGCGCGGTCATCTTCGCAACCTCGCGCCCCTCCACCCCACGAGAAAGGCAGCCCTCCAACGCAGGCCGCGACGCGCGAAGCGCGCTCATGGTCGCGCTCCTAGGGGGGGGACCTAGGGTATCGCTGCGAATTTCTATCTGACCTGTGCGAACGGTCCCCAGATAAACTCACGCGGGGGGATCAATCGCACTCCTGCGGGACAACCCGAATGCACCGCAGCGTCTACAAAAATCACGAGCAGAGGAGGATCGAGGCCTGCAGACGTCGTTGGTCCTGCTTGGGTCTCGGGCCAGCCCTCTGAGGTATCCGAGTGCCTCTAAGGACGAGGCTTCTGGTAGCCCTGGATGGACCGAGAACCCCCTCAAAGACGGCCCAAGACTTCCCCAAGAGCGCTCCAAGGCGGGCCGAAGACCCGCTCGGACGTCACCAACATGGCTCAATTAGACAACCCGTGTGATCCCTACCCCTGCAGGTCTGATTTCTGAAACGGCGGCTGGGGTTCAGAATCCAAAGGCCGTTTGTAGCCAAATGAACCCCAGCGGGGCAGGGGTGTCCGATACCCCAGCGTCGATCGGATCCGCAATTTCGCAATTGGTCGTAAATCAACCGAGCCTCTTCGGGAGAGCTCGGTAAAAAACATGGCGCCCAAGACGGTCCCGATACTCCCAAAAATCCCCAGACGCTCCTCAGAGATGCCCTCAAGAGTTCTCCAAGAGGCCACGATCAAGCCCCCGAAGGCCTCCTGCAATGAAGGAAGAACGGGAGAACGAGGGTGAGGACAATGAAAGTGCGATTCAAACCCGCTGGATTGGACTAGGTCTTAAAGCCAACCTCCATCCTGATGCGCTGTGGACGATGGCACTGTTGCGGGGTTTGCCGCCGCCAGCTGGTCAGCAATGACCGCGCTTGTCTCCGCAGGCAACATCCATAGCAGGGCGAAGCCCCCCCCCTGCCCCACACTCTGCCAACCCTGCCGAGGTCCCAGCTCGCGCTCACTCGTCCTTCTCCTCGTTCGGGTCGTCCTCCCCGTCCCCCCACAGCGAACGCTCGTCCTCCTCGTCCTCCTCGTCCTCGGCGATCGCCCTGGGCTCCTCCAGGGTCACGTCCTCGGTGTCTACGGCCAGATCTCCCCCGCTGACGGCCTCCCCGCTGTCCGCGCCGCCCAGGACGATGCCCACGAATGCGGCGTCGGAAGCACTCACCGAGTCGTCGGGAGCCTGCTCTGCGGCGTTCACCAGCGCGAGCGCTGCCTCGATCTTGGCCAGGGCAGCATTCGGGTCCGAGCCCTTCTTGCCTGCGACTGCCGCGTTGATCTCCTTGTACCTGGCAGTCTCCGCGTCGGACAGCTTGAACGCCTTCGTGGGAGCGTAGACGACCGGGCGAACCATCGCGGCGCCCGAAGAATGGCGGAAGCGGTTGTGCTGGTGCGGCGCCTTTGAGCCTTTCGCCAAGACGGCTGCAGAGCTGGATGCTGCTGAAGATCGATATGATAATGACGATGGCGATGACGATTCCGCTTCCCCTCTCTTGGGCAACACTTGGACACATACCACTGGTGTTCCTCCTCATTCTCCTTGACCTCCGTTGCCTCCTCCTCCTCCTCCGCCTCCTCCCATCCTCATCCTCCTCCTCTTGCTCCTCCTCTTCCTCTTCATAAGCATCATAATCAGCATCATCATCACCAGCATCATCATCATCATCATCATCATCATCATCATCATCATCATCATCATCAGCATCATCATCATCAGCATCATCATCATCATCATCATCATCATCATCATCATCATCATCATCATCATCATCTTCATCCTCATCATCACCATCCTCATCCTCATCATCCTCATCATCCTCATCATCCTCATCATCATCATCATCATCATCATCATCATCATCATCATCATCATCATCTGCATCCTCATCATCATCCTCATCCTCGCCCTTCTTCTTACTGTCCTCCTCCTCATCATCCACATCGTCTTCCTCTTCATCATCATCATCATCAGCATCGTCATCGTCGCCAATCCTCAATACTGTATCCTCCATTGTTTCCGACCTCCTCCTCCTCCTCCTCAACATCATAATCACCATCAGCCGTCATCAGCCATCTTCATCATCATCATCATCAACAACAGCAGCAACATTAGCATGATAATCGTCATCAGCGTCATCATCCACAGCATCGTCGTCACCATCATCAGCATGTTCATCAGCAGCATCACCTTCTTCACTATCAGCATCATCAGCATCAGCATCATCATCATCAGCATCAACGTCAGCATCATCAGCATCAACATCATCATAATCATCATCATCACAATCATCACCATCATCAACATCATCATCATCACCATCATCACCACCACCATCATCATCATCATCATCATCATCATCATCATCATCATCATCATCATCATCATCATCATCATCATCATCATCATCATCATTATTATCACCCGTGTACCCTTCATTCCTCTCCTGTGTCCTATTCCTCTTCCTTCTCCTCCTCCTCCTCCTCTTCCTCCTCCTCCTCCTCCCTCTCCTCCTCCTTATATATCTGCCAGCTTCCACCTCAAACCCCCGTTTTTTATATCGTCCTCTCCGTCCTCACCATCCTCCTCACCCTCCTGCACCCCTATTCCTTGTAAAGGACGCCTCGCTCTCACACCCCTGGACGTGTCGGTAGGACAGGCTGGGCGTTTCGCCTCAGACTTCCTCGCCACTCGCCACCCTGAAACTCGGGCCCTTTTGAAAATGTGGCCCTCGCCGTAGCACAGCGCACACTCGTTTCAAGAGTTGGCAGCAACTTCGCGAATGGAGGGCAGGCCGTCTTCAAAATGTAGCTCTCGCTGAAGTGCCGTGCTCATTCGTCTGGGAAGATTGCAACAGCTTCACGGATGGGCGAGCGGTCCTCAAAATGTGGTTCTCACCTAAGCGCCGCGCACATTCGCTTGACTCCAGGGTTGAAGGCGGGCGGTTTACAAAATGCAGTTCACGCCTCCGCACCGCGCACACTGATTTACGTCGCAGCGCGGCAAATGGAGCCCGCACGCGCGGGCGGGGCGACGGTAGGCGCGAATTGCCCGGCAGCAGGAGGGGAGAGTTGGGGCACGAACGTTAGCGCCGCGCACACTCGTCGTAAACAGGCGCAGCATCTTCACGGGTGGAGGGGCGGCGATTTTCAAAATATGGTTCTCGCCTCAGCGCCGCACACGCTAGTCTCAAACATGTGCAGCAGTCTCAAGGGTTCCTGTTATCGGAGTCCCAGGAATGGCGATCTGGCACGACGCAGGGTTGTCATGGAGCGAAGGGCATGTGGATTCGCGGTGTTGAAGTCCCAGGAAGGGTGCTCTGGCACATTTCATGGCTGTCAATACGCAGTCGTCACGTTTATCCGAGGCGTTGCAATCCCAGGCGATGCGTTCTGGCACGAGCTAGAATTCCCAGACGACTGTCGTAGATCATGCCACTTACCGCAATGAAAACGTGTCGCCGCGCGGTGTTCTGGACGCGCCACCGTGGACGACGCCGACGCCGCAGCAAACTCACGGCAAGCCCTGCGCCACGCGCCCAAGTCGACGAAGCCGGCGCCGCGGCAGGCCCTGCAGCGAGCCCGCCGCGCCCGAGGCGGCGTTTGCCCGGGCGGCCGAATCGTCCGGCTCTAAGACGTAGCGCCGCGCGTCGGAACAAACGGCGCGGCGACACACATATGGTGGTGTACGGAGGTATACACAGGATACTTGGAGGGAGGGTTTATTGCAACATTGTCGATGCGCCTCCTCTCCTCCTCCTCTTCCTCCTCCTCCTCCTCCTCCTGTTGGCACCTGTTGGCTCCGATGTTGTCTGTTACCGCTGGCAGAGCCTGCAAGCAAGCGGCGGATGGGGGGGGAACTGGATGGAGAAGGTTTGAAAACGTATGGTAAATACCTCGCGTCATTGGTCTGGCAGCCAAATGGCTGCCAGACCAAAGGGACAGACATCCCCACGAACTGCTTCGTGCGGAGGTCCAATCCATTCTTGGGTTTCCTTAAAGAATCCTTTGCGTGGCCATTACGCGGACCGTCGTGGCACTCCAGAAGAAACCAACAAACAAACACAAACAAAAAAAAACGGATGGGATCGGGAGCCGCCGAAAGCTCCACAACACGCACCAAGCGACCTTCTTCCTCATCAACCACATGTTGCGGGATGAACTATTAAGCCACGCAATCCCAAGCGGCCCAACGCAGGGATAACAACACATACACACACACACACACCGGCACGAGTCTGCCTCGCCAGCATGCCAGCATGCCAGCATGCCCCTTGGAACCGGGCAGAAGCTCTGGCCGGCACGGCCTGGCCCGACGGGGCATGCCGACGTTGGAACCATCGGGGACATCTCTGGCTGCCAAGCCCTCAACGACTTCGGCAAACGGCCTACGGGGCTGGGCCCCGACGAGGTGAGACTTGATCTGGGACGCGGCGGCCCCATCGTTTCCAATCTCACTTCCCAACCTGAAGATCTCAACCGAAAGCTCCCGCAAAACACAAAAAAAAAGAAGAAAAAAAAAAAAAAAAAAAAAAAGAAAAGAAAAACAACCGAAAGCTCCGACAAAGCGAGCTTCTCCAGGTGCCGGTTTGAACCTCGCCTCCAAGCATCGATCGCTGCCCGGCAATCGACGACCGCCCCCATGGCCGCGAGGCGGAAGCACGCGAGGAGAGCGAAGACTTCGCCGCGCGCGCTCGTCTGAACTGCGGGCGGCAACTGCCGGCGCGCCGACTCCGTGACACACGCGCCCCAGGAATGAAAAGACATGCTCACGACGGCCCAGCCAGCCCTGGCGAACTGCGGCAAGGCCGGGCCCACGCCAGACCCATGCAGGCAAATCCGAAGCCCCAAACACCCTCGAGAAGAAACGACATCCCATTCGCGGCCAGCTTGGGCGCAGAGGGCAGGCCATTGCCACTCGGAGCTGGCGCGCCGATCCGCTCTCCAAAGCTGGCAGAGAGGATCCACAACCCGCCGACCATCACATAGCGCACGCTGCGCAGGACACCCTCCCGCCGCCGCCCCCGCGAGCCAAGCTGCAGCCGCAAACCTTTCCCCTGCCCGAAGTGTTCGGAGCGCCTCGATGATGGGCTCCAACATGGGGCCCCGCAAAACGTCGCCAAGGCCTCGAAGCGGCGCGCCCCGGATTGCCCTTTGAACTACAACCTCATGACGCGCGCCCCAGGAGCTGGATGTCAACGCCGACCCCTCGAACCGTTGCAGACTTACTCCAGCTTTGGAATATGCCTGCCTGGTCGTTCAACTGCAGGCACAACAGCGCCGGGGGGCCCATGGGCGCCCCGCCGAGCTCGATCAGGCCAGCCGCAAAACTGCTCTCCGCCACTCGATGCCCTGCCCAACGAAGTCGGGCTGCCTAGCCCTAAGCAGCGAGAGGAGGAGCGCGCGCGTCGAACGACGGGCCCGCCTTCGAACCCATCGAGAAGGGGAACTCTGGCGTCCGGCCCCCCCTTTCGGCGCCCCGAACAGTCCAATTCCTAGAACACTTCGGGGCTGGCCAAGGGCCATGGTGGACACGCAATTCGTACGACAGCCATGCGCGGCAGAGTGGACGCCACCCTTTCTGGCGACTTGTGAACAGCCATGTGCGAAAGCGCCAGGGACCCCCGAAAAGTTTCCCTCGGTCCCTAAGCTTCTGGGGGGGCGCTCCTGGAGGCCCTCGGGCCCCTTGGCCACGCCCCGCGTTGTCTGGTCGCACCCCCGCCCCCTCCCAGACGCAGCCCCAGTCGAGTTCCACTTTTTCAGCCTCGACACGACGGCGAGTCTCGAGACCGAATGGCGACGGGGCGCCAGCCCCTTCGACTGGGGGCCACCAGCGGCAGCTTCTCAAGCTGCGCGCGAAGAAAGCAAACGGCGCGAGATAAAACACATTCAACATGCGCAGTGCTGCACGCTGCCTGCGCTGTTGCATCATCCACAACGCCGCACTACGCGACACCGCCAAAGAGGCCCCTCGCGAGGCCCAGGGGGCCAGGGCCACCAGGGGGGCGTAACAGGACACCCAGCGACACCCGTAACATCCACAATGCAGCGGCCGCGGCAAAGTGAAAGCGTCAGGCGCACCTCGAAAATGTCACGCACGCGAATGACAACGGCCGCGACCAGCGCGCAGCGGCAAGGTTCTCGCAGTTCTTGGTTGATTGACGAGGCAGGAACCTGCGCGGACCCCTGCGCCCACGCGGCGCGCGGCCATCAAGCTCTGCCCCCAAACCGTGCGTCCGCAGCTCTTGCCGTGGACCCCGCACTGGCTGCGCCTGCGGTTATCCCGCTCGCAGCGCGTCGTCGCGCCCTTCGGCGGCTTCGAACGCGCTCGCCAGCGTTGGAAGCAGAGCGCTCGGTCGGACGCCCCCCACGCGGCTCGCCTAACACCGAAAGGGCGGCGGCGCGGCGGACGTCAGGGCAGGCCCCCGACAACTCCATCTCTGGCCACCGCGCGCCGGGCACAGCGAGAGGCCATCCCAGGCCTTGCCCGGGCCTCTGGGCCGCAAGACATCGACGCGGACCGCCGCGCGTTGCGGACAGTCCCCGGTGGCCCCGCGGACGTCGTCGTCCGAAGGTGGCCCCGAACAGTCTGGGCGCCCGACCCCTTGGGCCCCCGCCCGGGCCTGGGACTGACGCGCGAGGTGCCCGACAGGATCAGGGAACTCCCCGGCGGCCTCCCGGGGCCGCGCGACGCCCGGCCAGTGCGACGCCAGGGTCTCGACGTGCCCTCGCGGCCCCAAAAGCACCGCGAAGTCGCCGTCGGCCCAGGCACTCGACTCGGGCGTGATCCACCCCATCGGGCGCGGCGAACACTGGCGCGCCTTGCCAGCGCCGTTGGAAACAGCCACCTGCGCCCGCCATATCCACTCCTTCCCCCGCCCCGCGGAGAACTTGCGCGCTACCTCGTGGGCGACGCCTCGTCGGCCCGCGACTGCACTCCCCCGCCGCTGGCGCGGCGCAAGGCAGCGAAACTCGGCGCCCGAGACTGCTGGGCCTCGACTGTGCGCAACTGTCTAGACCCCCTCTCGACTGCCTTCAGAGCCCTCATGGACTCGCCCCCGCCCCAACGGACAACTCGCTTTCGGATGCACCCCGGCCCCGAAGACAGCTTCGAGACACGACGCCAACACCGACCCTCGGGACTTCCAATGGGGCGCCGACCGCCCGACGCCAGCAGAACTGACACTCGCATGAACTCGGGCCCCCCGGCCCGCCCGACAGGCGCGGGCTGGCCCAGGGGCCCGCGGGGCGCCCCCGACCCCCTGTCCAGCGCGCTCACGGATTAACGATAATAGACATCAGATAAACCCCGATCGCCAGTCGAGTAAACGCATTCGCGAAGACAACCATCATCTGGCGGCACTGGAAAGGGCCCAACCACAGACTGCGACGGGAACGCTCTCGGCGAACCAAGTGCCTGGACCAGCGCGTCGAGAGGCCCCCCGTGAACTTGACCACCGCGGGACAGCGCGGCTCGGTGGATTCTCGCCGACTGACGCAACAGAAACCAGAACTCGCCACTCGCCCTGTTGACATCGCACAATAGTTGATCGTTTTTTCACACCTTGGACGTCGACCTGCACAGGCAAAGGACGGCGGGCGCATGGTCCGCCCCGCCCAAGCGCCCAACCCACCCCCCGGCTCGGAGCTCATCGGGCGACGCGCTGCAGCCCCCCCCCCCCCCCGAGCCCGCTAGGAGGACAATCCCCTGGAAAGAAGGCGTTCCCAGAGACAACTCAGGTTTTGACTCCCTCTCTGGGCCCGGCGAATTCTGGTCGGGGAGGCATATGGACCCGAGAACGAAACCACCTAGCACGCGCGCGTTCACCAACCTGAGCATCTGGCGGCGCGGGCACGGCGGGCCCTCGACGCTGGTCGGCGGCGCCCCCAGGCCGACATATTCTACGCGAGCGACGGCAACTCCACGAGAGAAACCTCCAGCCTCCACGCCAACTTTCCACCCGCCTTTCCCAGGCCAGGCGTCGCGTTCGGCTCGCCCCGACGAGTCGACAATATAATCCCGAAGCACGACGACATGGCTCAAGGTTTCCCCCTGGCGAAACTGCTTCGCCGAAGCACACGCCGTGGCATCGCGCGCATCTGGACGCAAAACACTCCCTGGGCCGAGACCCAGTACGCTTCTGCTTCCACCCTGGCCGGGCAGCACGCTGCCCGCGAATTCTCTGGGGCCCCGTGGGAGGCCTGGCACTAGGGGGGCAGGAAGGGCGCGGGGGGGCATGCCAGGGGGGCCATCAAGCAGCGGCGGCGGGGGCCAGGCGGGCGCCAGAAACAAAATCCCAAGCGGCCAAACGGGGCCCCTGCAAGCCCAGCCGGCCCTGCCACGCACCCCCGCGGCCGCCCACCCCCTTTGCCTGCGCCCCCGCGGGCGCAGCAACACCGCTGGCTCCACCAGCAGCGCCATCCCGTCCTGCCCCCTTGCTGCCAAGCGCCCCAGCGGCCAGCGCACGGACGTCAAGCTGCGGCGAGGCTGGGCCAGCAGCGGCTCCGCCGCCGCTGGTCTCAGAAGCAGCAGGCCCGCCTGGAGCCCCAGGAGAACGAGGTGCGGAATGCCCGCGAATCTCAACGCCTGCCTGCTGCCCGCCGTCGTTGTTCTTCGGTTTCTTCTGGAGCCTACCGTTATGCCTTGAGCGCACGCGTCGCAGCCGCTCTGCGGTCCCCTTCGCGGCGTCGTACAATTATTTGTTCGCAATGTCCTGCGCGCCTTCGGGGATCGGTTCCTTGCGCGCTACCACTACATACTGATCGCCTTCCGTGAACTCGCTTGTGTCCGCAAGCCTGGACATATCCTCGCAGCCCGCCAAGTCAATGCACGACGCGTAGCACAGCAGCAGCTGATCGAGCGATGTCGTGGTGGCGTCCTTTTCCTTGTTTTGATTGGCGTGTGAATACATCTGGCCGAGCAGCTCGCGGCACTGCTGTTCTGCCGACCAAAGGCTTGGACATGAGCGTGACGCCTTGGCGAATCCGCTGCAGCTTGTCCACCGCGTGTTCCAACACCCGCCCGAAGTGCTCGACCTCCTTGTGCGCCTTGCGCGCGCGCGCCCCTGCAGCGGAGGTTCCTTAGGGGCCTCGACCTCGCGCTGCTTGAATTCCCGCACAAATTGTCATACCTCGAGAAGAGCACCGAATCGCCGACCTTCTTCCCGCGCGCGACAAGAACTCCTCGACCTCGGGAATCGAGAGCTCCTGGTCGCCCCTGCCCGGGCCCAGTGGTGGCTGCAGGCCCACGGCCCTCGACTGGCCGACACCGTCACTCGGCGCCAGCAGCTCGGGCCGGGAGGCGACGGGGACGTCCCGGGCAACGTCACACTGGACGCAGAACCACTTACGCCGGGGGTACTCTTGCACCCACAGCGCTCGTACTTACACTTCCGATGTGCCTTCGGCCTTCGAGAGCAATTTCGCTTATTTGTCTTATTCTTATTATTATTAGTATTCGTCTTATTATTAGGATTAGTATTATTCATATGATTACTATTAGTATTATTATCATTAGTTTTATTAGTATTAGGAAAATGTTTCTTTTTCGTATTCTTCTTCTCGGCCAGCCAAGATACGTTTCTTTGAGGTGCCCTCCAGCTGCCCCGGCATCGCCCCACGCCAAACAGGCGCGCAGAAAACATATGATAATCGTGAAAGGAATGTACGGTGACTCGCTGGGAGACGATGACCTCACAACAGCCTGTATGCTGTCAGGCAAAGCGGACAGGACACCCTTGGACCCCCCTTTGAGCCCCTGCCTTGCGCCAAGAATGTTCTTGAACCAATCAGTGGCTTGAGCCAGAATGGCTGCGGATCCTACACCTTTTCCTCCTCCTCCTTGTTTACGTTAGCCAAACACGAGCGACGAGGCTGTTGCGTTCGTGCAAAATGAAGCAACTGCAAGATGCCGAAATAGTTACTAGGCCTGAATTCAGGAGACGGCACGTGCGGCAAAAGAGGAGCAACAAAAAGCAGGATAAGTAGTTGAGCCCGTGCGGGCGCAGAGTGACCAAGCCAACCGCGAATGGGAAGGGACGAGGCGAAAACACTCAATCACACGCATAACATAAACATAACTCCTCCTCCTCTTCCTCCTCCTCTTCTTCCCGTCCTTGCCCCGCCCCCCCGTTGCCCCACCCGCTCGTGCCTAGGCAGACCAGCGCCGCCACCGCCAGGGAGCAGAACGCGTCCGCCCGCCCGGCGTCGGTCACGCACCCGAACTCGAGCCGCCGCCCCGCCGTTGGGCGAAGGGCCCGCCCTGCTCCGTCCAAACATCCGCCTCCTCATCCCTCGTCCCGCCGCCTCCGCCTCCTCGTGCCGCTCCTCTGGCGCGTCACCCCTCATCCCCCGCATCCCTTTCCTCCTGCCCCCGATCGTCACAGCTCATCGTATTTAGACCCATCCTCTTCCTCCCGATCTCCTCCACCTCCTCCTCCTCCTCCTCCTCCTCCTCCACCTCCACTTCCTCCTCCGCTTCCTCCTGCTCCTCAAAGTCCTTCTGCTCATTCTCCTCAACCTCATGCTCCTATCCTCTTCCTCCTCCGCCTCCTCTTCCTCCTCCTCCTCGTCCTCCTCCTCTTCCTCCTCATCCCCCCTCCATCATCATCATCATCATCATCATCATCATCATCATCATCATCATCATCATCATCATAATCATCATCATAATAATCATCGTCATCATCATCATCATTACCAGCATCATCATCATCATCATCATAATAATAATAAGCATCATCATCAGCATCATCAGTATAAACAGCATCATCATCATCAGCATCATCATCATAAACAGCATCATCAGAATCATCATCATCAGCATCATCATCAGCATCGTCATCGTCATCGTCATCAACAGCATCATCATCATAATCAGCATCACCATCATAATCATGATCATTATCAGCATCATCATCATCAACATCATCAGCAGCATCATCATCAGCATCATCATCGTCGTCATCAGCATCATCTGCATCATCATCATCATCATCATCATCGTCATCGTCATCGTCATCAGCATCATCATCATCATCAGCATCATCATCATCGTCACCATCACCATCAGGTATCAGCATCATCATCATCAGCAGCAGCAGCATCAAAATCATCATTATCATCATCAGCGGCAGCGGCATCCTCATCACCATCACCATCACCACCAGGTATCAGCATCATCATCATCATCATCATTATCATCATCATCAGCAGCAGCAGCATCATCAAAATCATCATCATCAGCGGCAGCAGCATCAGCATCAGCATCATCATCGCCTTCATCATCAGCAGCAGCATGATAATCAGTATCATCATCATCATCATCAGCACCATCGTCATCATCATCACCACCACCACCATGAGCATCATCATCCTCAGCAGCAGCATAATCATAATCATCCTCGCCATCAGCATCAGCATCATCATCAGCTTCACAATCATAATCATCATCAGCAGCTTCACCATGCCCATCCTCATCAGCATCAGCTTTAACATCAGCATCATGATCACCATCATCATCAACAGCAGCATACTCGTCATTGTCATGATCAGCATCCTCATCATCATCGAATTCATCATTATCATCGCCATGATCATCATCTTCAACAGCATCATCATCGTCATCAGCAGCAGCATTCGCCTCCTCCTTCTTTTCCTCTTCCTCCTCCTCCCCCTCCTCCTCCTAATCCTCCTCCTCCTTCTCCTCCTCTCCTCCTCCTCCTCCTCCTACTACTCCCCCTCCTCCTACCCCTCCTACTCCTCCGTCTCCTCCTCCTCCTCCTCCTCCTCCTCCCTCTCCTTCTCATCCTCGCGTTTCTCATCCTCTTCCTCATCCTGCTCCTCCTTATCCTCATCAGCATCGTCTCATCCCCATCATCATCGTTATCACCATCATGATCGTCCTCGTCGTCATCGTCATCAGCAGCAGCATACGCCTCCGCTTACTCCTCCTCCTCCTCCTCCACCTCCTCCTCCTCTCCTCCTCCTCCTACTCCTCCTCCTCCTCCTCCTCCTCCTTCTCCTTCTCCCCCTCCTCCTCCTTCTCCTCCTCTCCCTCCTCCTCCATTCCCTATCCATCTGAATAACTCCTCCCTGTCGCACCCCGAAGCCGGTCCAAAGGGCGGGCTGGACGTTTCGCGTGAGACTTCCTCACCACTTGTGAACGTGAAGTTGAATAATGACAAAAGATTCACAGATGGAGGGCGGGCCGCTTCCAAAATGTGGCTCTCGCCTCAGCGCCGCACACGTTCTAAACATTTGCAATAAATTCACGAATTGACGGCAGGTGGCTTTCAAAATGTGGCTCAAGGATTGAGGGCGGCTGGTTTTCAAAATGTGTCTATCGTCTTAGCGCCGCGCACAGTCCTTTGAACAGATTGCAAGAGTTTCACGCATTGAAGGCGGGTGGTTTCTAAAATGTGGCTCTCGCCTTAGCGCCGCGCACATTCGTCCTAACAATTTGCAACCGTTTCACAAATTCAGGGCGGGCCGTGTTCAAAATGTGGCTCTCGCCTTGGCGCCACGCACATTCGTTTGAAACATGTGCGAAAGCTTCACGCATTGAGGGCGGTTGGCTTTCAACATGTGGTTCTTGCCTAACCGCCGCGCGCATTCCATTTAGCAAATTTGGACGCATTTCACACATGATCAAGGTCAACGTATCAAAAATTGCGTGTTGGAAGGACTCTGGACTGCGAGGGCGCAACAAGTATGACGATTTGTTGTGTTCAAGTCCAAGAATCAAAAAGCAACAGTCAGGTTCATCCGTGGCGAGGAAATCCCGGGAATGGTACTCATGGCAAGGCCCAGGGTCTTCATTCGGTTGGTTGTCTCCCACCGAGGCAGCTCCCTTAGTGAAAATGAATCCTTTCAGTGGCCTTTGAAGGACGAGCTCGGAGTGGGGGTCATTCCAACATCATGGACGGGTTTGAGCTTGCAGTGGTCCTCCTCGTGTTCCTTGCCGCCATGGCCAGAATCCTCATACTCCTCATCATGAACGGCATCATCATCATCCTCATCATCATCATAACAATAATCATCACAACCAACCCCCCATTATCATCGTCATCATCATCCTCATCATCATAACAATAATCATCAAAACTACCCCCACCATCATCATCATCAACATCATCATCATCAGCAGCATCATCATCATAAGAATTATCGTCACCATCACCATCACAATCACCAACACAACCACCACCGTCGCAAGCATCAGCATTAACATCAGCAGCAGCATCATCAGCATGAGCATCACCATTACCAGCAACCGTATCATGATCATCACCATCATCAATAGCATCAGCATCACCTTTGTCACATCATCATCATCATCATCACCATCATCATCATCATCATCATCAACAACATCGTCGTTGCCATCACACTCAACATCAGCATCATCATCACCAGTTCATCAACATCAGTATCACCATCATCACCACCACCATCATCATAATCACCAGCATCACCACCAAAACCACCACAAAAACCACCGCCGTCAGCACCAGCATCAGCATCAGAATGACCATCAGCATCAGCGCCATCAGCATCATCAGCATCATCACCATCACCTTTGTCATCAGCTTCCTCATCATCAGCAGCATCATCGCCGCCAGCACCATCAGCATCATCAGTATCGTCATCATCATCCCCATCAGTGTCATCAGCGTCATCATCAGCATCAACATCCGCATCATCAACACCAATGTCCACATCAGCAGCTTCATAATCATGACCACTTCCATCCGCAGCAACATCGCAATCAGTGTCACAACACTCCTTGAGATCAAGTAGCCCTCGTATTACCTCATTACCACCAATTGCAGCACCATCATCATCGCCATCATCATCATCATCATCATCATCATCATCATCATCATCACCTGCATCACCATCATCAACCACCATCAACCTCATCATCTGCATCACCGTCATTATCACTAACACCGCCATCATCCTCATCATCAGCACAGCCAGCGTTATCAGCCTTTCCACCGTTATGGCAATTGGCATCGTCATCATCGTCAGCACCATCATCATGAGCATACTCATCATTTTGCCGAATCGGTCCCCCCCTTCCTGTCACTACTCCTCCATTACCCGCAGACCCGTCATCATCTTCATCAGATTCCTTGCTCTGCTCGCCCGTACACGCAATCCCGACGCATACTGCTTCGCCGACGCATATTCATCATCATCCTCGGTTTCGTCCCCGCATCGCCTCAACCCGTTTTTCTACAATGTCATCATAATCATCCGCATCATCATCAGCAGCAGCATCA